TGTCTGTGCATAAAAAGTAAGCTAGATGTCTTCAGTGACACTAAGCTCACAACAGTTTGACCAAGGTCTAGAGAATAGGCCAAAAACCCGACTACCTTTCAGAATTATTACACGTGAGTGAATCAGATTAAACCTTCACGAGTAAAATTCAATTGAATAACAGTGAGAGGGGAAATTTTTTTAAATTAACTATAAGAAACAATCCTGGATATATTTCAAGATAATATGACAGTATTTCACAATTTACCTTCATGTTATCTGGGGTGTCGCCTTGTCCAGTGGTGGCACATACCAGTACCACAAGACCCTCTTCTATCAGCTTAGCCTGACAGAAACACATAGAAACACAGTGTATAAAAAGAAAGTTTGTCATGAAGACAAAATAAATAATTTTATAAGAGGTTAGGATAGTTGATATGCATAGTAACCAAATTGGGACAAATGAGACTCGTTTCAGTCTCCTTTAGAAAATAAATACAATAATAGATAGATAATAAATAAATAAATAACGATAAATAATTCTGGATTATTTTTTCTGGATGTCTGTAAACCAAGAATTTCCTTTGCCACTTAATTATGAGCTTGCGCACGCACACACACACACACACACACACACACACACACACACACACACACACACACACACACACACACACACACACACACTTACCACATTGTAATCATCCAGTGCCATAACTTGCACAGAAAACCATCTTCTCTTTCCCTCCCTGCCCACTCTCTCAGCCACATCCTGAGCTGTCCCTGTCTGGCTGCCATATAGCACAAGAAGCTTATGACTTTCCTCCATAGCTCACCAACAGCTGTGGTGAGTTTCTGATAACACTATTGAAAAATAATCAGAGAGTCTCTGTTTTAGTGATTTTATCAATAAGACTAATACCATGAACAGTACCAGTTTTCCCAAAGTCCAAAGTTTAACTGGCATAAAATTAAGATTGGTCTGAAAAGTGACAGAAAACAATGAGTCAGTCAGTTAAAGTATGTAGAGGCAAAGATAATATTGTTATTCCACTGTAGTGCAAATTTCCCATTTAGGGGTGAGATCTGAGTATGAATGGAAATAGTTGAGAGAACAGCAGGTTCCATGAACTTCTCACTACTGACATATATTCTACATACTTGATTCACTTTTGTGAATTAAAAATAGTAAATCGTCGCTTGTAACGTATGGGATTATAAAAGGTATAAAGTATTGCTTTCTCTGAATCAAGTTAAAATTCAATTTCATAAATGGTTTACTTTCAAATAATCATGAATGATCGACTCTATAGTCTATAGTTTGTCGCTTAGAAATACCCTTAGGGTACAAAATACATGAGAAGAGAACATATTCAGTACATCCTGTTTGCTCTAGCATAAAAAGCAAAACTGGTAATTTAAGAGCATTAAATAAGCACACTAACTCAGCGGTTTCTTCAAATCTGGTTTTCCATCATCTCACATGGGAAATCCGGAAGTTTTGAATAAGCAATGCATTGTGGGATGCTAACAAGGTGACTAGTTCTCTAATTATTAGTTGTTGCTGCAAACTCAAGTTTTGCCGTGAAAATCACCTAAGGATACATAAAGCATAATAAAAAATGTAAAAAACATTTATGATAATTAAGTTTTATCGCAAGAAACTTAAATTTAATATCATATATATATCATTCTAAGTGCAGCCGGAATACCCTTAATTCAAGGAAATAATCATATAATTTTCACTTTTTGCTTGAAGTTGGCCTGCACAAAAACAATCTAAATAGGAAATTATTAACTGCACAAAACCAAATCAAGTAAGCAGCCAAAGCGTTTGTGCTTTTCGGTCTGTCAGCATAGCGGTAACATTACTTTGAGCATGTAAAAATTTAATAGGCAGTCGTCTTTACGAATTTTAAAAGAGTTTGATTTTGAACTAAAAATTTGTTGATCTTTTCCTGGTAATCTCGGTTTAGTCCAAGAGTTTGTCATTTTAACGTAGTCTACATCTAGCTTTGAATGGAAGTTATTACTCTTTATTTCTTTATTTCAGGTGCAGCAGGGTCTATGAATTAAAGGAAGGAAAAATTTTCAAGAAGGTAATATCTGTGTAACACTACCCAAGTGAAGAAAGATTTACAGGACAATCACTGAATACGCTGTTGGATAATCTCGGTTTAGTCCAAGAGAAGGACATCAACGACTTAATTTTTTGCACAAAGAATATTGTAAATCCCTGCAAAACTTACTGGTCATTTTTCATTTTGATTACTGTGATCATAAAGTTATGCCTTGCATTGCACTTCAATCAGCCATGGCATTAAGATATTACTGAATACTTCAGAGGAGTTGTTATAGTCGCCACTTTGGGGATCATATCCTTCTCGTTATTTATTTAACTGTATGGAATGGTGGCGTTTTCCAAAAGACGGATCTACGTCAGCCAGAAGCACAACATACATCATGTTTTTCACACTGAAAGAACTGGCCTTGTGGTTTGGGATGACCACCTGCGAAATACTGACCAACTTAGTGGCCTTACTAATATTTTCCCTACTGCTGGTACTGAAGCAAGAGAATGCGGTTGATATCACATGGTGGCATGTATTTGTCCCATTATATGCAGCCGATGGAATGAATGGTTACTTTTGTGTTATTGTATTCATCAGAATGTATAAATCCATGGACATAAGGTCGGCTGCAGTGAGACTGTTATCTTCTTCGGTTGTTATCATCAATATATTTGTGACGCAGATATTACTGTGCAAAAGATTTGCTGGAGAGACTATGTTGTTATATTCAGAAATATTGTCCCCTGTGTTTATAGTGTTGATGATACTTATGGTTCGTGTTTGTCAAATTCATTGAATTTCTTAAAATATAATTAACTGTAAATTTTTGTAAATATTTAAAACTATATTAAATGTTCTCTTGGTTCACAGCAATTTTTATAAATGTTTATTTCATCTGATTACATCAATATTTGTTAAGAATTATTCATTACATAACAACATTGCATAAATTTTCCTAATGTCCAAGGTACTATAATTTTCAGTCTTTAAGTGATAATGAATTAGAAATTTTCAATTTCATAAATAATGTAAATTTAAAATTTCTTGATATCCTGAGCCCAGTCTTTATAATACATAAACATAAAGCAGTCATCAATTTACATTTGATAAATTAAACAACAGTGACAGCATCAGTATTTCTCATTAAGCCATTTTGTGTATTGGATTTATGGGGCCGTAGCAATAGTCCGTAGGTTCAATAGTCCGAAGGTTCATTGGTCCGAATATTCACTATAGAACCTTCGGACCAATGAACCCTTGATTAAAAAATCGATGAAAATGTTACCACTTTTCGGACCAATGGACCTTCGGACCAATGAACCTTCGGACTATCGAGACGCCCCCGGATTTATTGCCAAACAGAACCAAGTACGTATATAAAGGAAAAGTGAATTTACAGGTTCAAAAATATACACAGGCTATCTTTTAATTTTTTTCTTTGGGGAAAATAGGATTGTAATGTTCAATAAACTTTGAACTTCAAAATTTAGCAGTTGCTACTTGTAAGTTGCAATTTAATGATACATTTTACACTGAAAGATTCTGTATTTATCACAAAATATTTAAAAAGACTTGAGATGGTTATACGCATTAACACTGGAGATTAAAGCTGAAAGTGATCATGAGATGCTGATGAAAAAGTATATGCCATACACTGTTGTCAAAGAGCTTTTCAATTAACAGTCAGGAGTCATCTGGATATTTCAAACTTGCCATACTGTGTATGAATTATTGAAAATTGTTAGTTGGATTAGACACTGACATTTTTTCTTTTATTGGGAATTATTATACAAGCAATACAATTTTCACTCTATGTAACAAATATTTTGTGCATCTGTAATAAAAGGGATACATAAAACATTTTACATGTATTAACCATGTAGTTAACTTTGTTAAATAATAAAACTTGGTCATGCAATAGTTAACAAGAAAAGTAGAAAATTTGTGAAATTGTTAAGTAATGATCAAGACAGAAAAAAAATTAATATGATGTACACACAAATGCAAATTAAAAGACATCTAGTTTGTGATTAGGGCAAGGTTTTATTTCTTTTACAATTCAGTTTCACGATTTGTTTCTCACTTTGTTCTACAAAAAAGGCAGAATGCCTTACTTATTTTTAATTTGTAAATTTTGACACATTGTGACACAACTTTGCCCACATGATAAAAAAAATGTGAAGCACAGCACACATTCCTTACCCTAGGTTCTAGATTCCGGTATTGTCAGCTCGATCTTGATTTCATATATAACCCATATCAAAAAAGCGACTCCACCACGAGGTATATTTAGCAAGCTAGCTTTTACGTTTCTCTGACACTCAGGGTAACATTCCTCAGCTTGTTACTAAATGTACACCAGCAAAACCATTCCACACTAAAAGCCATTATGTACCTACTGCAATTGCTGTTAAAAACCTTGATAATCATCCCATTATTTTCATAAGTTACATAATAAACCGATATCTTCATTAGATAAAGTTGTGTATCTTTTTGCTGCACCAACTGACCATTGAAAAGCTGTTGAAAGATCATGAGACAGCCTGTATTTTAATCATATCTTTTTGCCATTAATGTACTTGAGCCTGTTTCTAGGCAACCTCTCAAACATTAAAAGTCCAGCGGCCCTCTCGATGGAATCAACAGGCACCTGAAAGTTAAATAAATTAATATTGTCTGGAAGAGCTTGGTTAGGCATTACAAATGACTGTAAGTGGAAGTCCCCTTTTTCGTTTTCCATGACAATTACTTTGAAAAAATGTGTCGGAACAGCTACATTGTTTTTTCCTATCACTTCATACTTGACATAGGTTTTGCCATCTGGTTCTTTTCTAAAATGCAAAATAAATAAAAAGAGAAGTTTAATAATTTTCAGAAACAACTGAGCCCAATATTATTATCAACAATTACAATTTGACAGCTTTTTTGTTGACTTAAGAATAAAATGAGAATATGTCCAGATATTCTCTTGTGAGTTAAATTATACAAATGAATGTGTAAAAGAAAAAAATATGTCATTTCAGTTACAACAGTCAAAGCATGAGTGTCTTTAAAAGTTACCTAGGAAGATACAAAGGCCCTGTACAAACATAGACATTGGGGTGATTTTTGGTCAATTTTCTGACATAATTTTCCAACTTGTTCCATGCATCACGATTGAAACCTTTGCCAACCTAAAAACCAATAAAGACAACAATGAACAAATGTTTTATAGTTAAATTATTTTAAAACTATGATATTCCATTCCCCCCCCCCCCCCGACATGCATTATCATTTTGTTTGCAAAATTCAACCACTTCTTGTACTTACTTTCAGTATAAGTAACAATTTGCACTAAATGGAAAATTTGTGATAACTGCATTAAAAATCATGTAACACACACTGTATTATCAATTACCAAATTTACTTAAAATAATAACTTATATATACTTATGTTATGAAATTAGTTTTTCAAATACTTTAAGTTAAGAAATAAAGTGAAGAAGAGTCACCACGTGATTGCTGCCATCAATAATAAGAGGCACACATGTACCTGTGGGGAAATATTACTAAGAAGAAATGTCTCTCCCATAGCTTGTAAGGAAGACCTGTGGTTCGCCGCTGCTGCCAGGTGCCCTCGATCATATCCACTGCCTTTATAATCCTCATTCCTTGCCCTGTGATAGGGGTGAAAACTTTCATCTTCAACAAACTCACAATGTTTCCTGTCGACGTATTCATTGTACGCAACATTTTCCGGAGTCAGGTGCTCGAAGACCCAATTTGCGGTGCGATTTCGTCGATCGTAGGAGATTACGTAGTCCTTGAGAGTGCGGACGTTGTCAAGCCCAGGAAAACCGAAACGCATTATTTGAGAAACCCTGCTGTTATTTCCAGCCGGTGCATCACCCTTCGCAGAAATTTCTTGTCGGATCGGAGTGACTGGTACCTGGAGTTCTGTGTTAACTTTTGCTTCAGCTACTGGCAGTGAAAAATAATGTAGGGGTCCATTGCATGATGCACAGCTGTCATGGCACCGTGTTCCGTAGATCTTCCCAAGAAAACTTCCAATTCCCAGACACGACAAAGAAGATGCTATCGTGGCCCAGCGTATATTTGACATGTCAGTAACTGTTTTAAAATAGCGTTGATATCACTTGAGTTAGCAAATTCGATACCTACTGTTGGGATTCGATGCTATATAAATCCGTACGTGATTGTTGGATAGGCGACTGCCACCAACATGGGGGATTTACCTTTTGGGGATTCCGAGTCTCGTTTCAGAAACTGTCCTCGTTTTCAATCAATTATCTTTGACGCAATTTAAGTAACATATATGTAAAGATTCATCAAATTGTCGCTATTTAAGGTCACTGAATATGCGTATAAATGAGCGGTTAAATGTATATGGCATAAAATCTTTGCGACAGATTAATGAAAAAGATATGTAGATGGGACTATCTTGGTTAGCGCCATCTAAGGACATCAAAATTATAGATGGCGTCAACAAGTAGAGGGTAAGTTGAACACAATCTCTCATGAAAACTGCCCTTTTCATCCGTGAAAAATAGGAATGTTTCAGGAAAACACTTAGAAAATCAAAGTGTATTCCACATGCAATTATATTGGTGCATTTGGTTCTTAGAAATACTGGTAAATCGACTGAAGGATGGAATTATGACAACCTGTCTAAATGAAACAATGGGAATTTTCAGACGAAGGCCGAACAGTGACGTTTATGTAATTTTAGTTGTTGGTGCGGTGTTGCAGGAAATGTTTCATACCTGCATTGTTTTTAACGATGTATTCAGTACGCCTTTATACAAAAGAAAGGGATATCTGTTTTAAGATTGAAAACT